AGCTGTGCAGCTTGATGTTGCTTCTGTGTGTTTCCCTCTCTCTCTCGCTCTCTCTCTCTCTCTCTCTCTCTCTCTCTCTCTCTCTCTCTCTCTCTCTCTCTCTCTCATATTTGTTGGAGTTCAGTAAATGACTTCCATTTGTGCTTGAGAACTAGAAGCCTCCCTCTCTCACACATTAAAGGGTTGTGTGAGTGTGTATGTGTGTGTGTGTTTGATGAAAGGGTTGTGTGTGTGGGTAGAGGGCAGTAATTACAGCTATTCTCCAGAGCTGATAGTCAGAGGCCTTGGCCGCAGCAGCGGTCACACCCCTTCCTGTCTGACAGATCTGATCCACGACTCCTGCTGCTGAGTAACACAACCTGAGGACTCACATCTGCCTCAACACCTTACAGTTAAGACTCTACTACAGAGTTACAGAGTTACAATCCGACCTCATTAGTCTCAAAGGATGTGAATATCATGTATTTATTCTATTGATTGCACATGCCAACATTTAGGGGAAAAAATATTTTATTAATAGATTAATCTGATTGACATAGAGATATATGTACAATATTCATCTATGTTTGGGTGCAATCTCCTTTCTTCCTTTCCTGTTGCACAGTGTCAATACCATAAGATAAAACAAATCATGAATATTTATAAATATTGACAATTATAGTCTTAAGCTTTGGGCTTGCTGTAATGAATAACTTGCTAATAATTTTTTTATATAGTTTTTTTTGTTGTTGTTTTTACATTTTCACAAATATATGTTGATAGTGGCATAATAAATGAACCCCTTCCTTTACTATATATTTGACTAATTTTAATATATTTGAGTATAATATGTTAATATTTTACATTATACTTTAAATTAAAATATAATGTAAAATATGAATATATCATAATATAATTATAAAGAATATAATTATATACACACACTATAATTACATTAAAATGGTTCAGTTTTAATCTATATACACACACATGAACATCTTCCATCTCTATTTTTACAATACATTTTAATATCTAAGTTGTGATCTGATCTCAGTGAGGGTAATGAGTTATCATTTATTTAAAAAAGAATCACATGAAATTGTACATTTAATCTCTAATTATTTTAAAGAGGAAATTATGCTATTTTATATTAAGAAAAGCTTTTTTTTTTAAATTGTCAGATAAACGTACAGGAGGGAATTCGGGTAAATTAAGCCATTATTTATCATTGTTTAAATTTACCTGAAGTCACTACAATCAACATTTACAGCAAGATAAATCTAAACCATTTTATCAACAATATACACAGCAATTTTTTTTACACAGCGTAGCCTACAAACACATTAGCATATTTATAGAACTGAAGGTACAGATGTGTCAAATAGATCAGTAAAACAGATGAGGTGTGTCAAATCTGATTTTATGTGACAGCTCCGTGAATCTGCCTCAGCAGTGCTTGTCTGCGTCTGGGCGTTTCGCGCATGCGCAGTCATCTCTCTCTTTTTTTCCAGGCCAGCAGTGCGGCAGGCGGACCGCAGGGAGAGGGAGAGATTTTAGGAAGGACAGTTACAAAAGTTAAAGAAGACGAGAAATCATGGCACAAAACAGTGAACTCGTCGATCGCCTCTCCTCGCCATTGAACTTGGCATCCCTCATCATGGCGCTCGTGCCACCTATGAAATATTGATTTTTGTCATCTACTCCAACTTGGGGATATAATGCCGGGAAACGGATGAGAACTGGATTTGCTTGTTGGATATTGAATCCGGCGCTCGGGGATGCTTTGTGCTTCTAAAGAGTAAACTTTATTACTAACTGTTTTGTCATTTAACATTACATTAAAAGTCCATTTAAATTTGACATGCAAGTTTCAGAAATCACAATAAAGTATAATTTAGTTGCTATTAATGCTTGTCAGTATTTGGCAGTAACCGTATTTTAAAGACAATTATAAAATTATACATAAAGTACTTACTGTAAGTCCTACTGTAATTGGGTCGCAAAAACACTCTTTAATTTAACTGATTGCACTTAATCAAATTTAATAATACATTTTCATTTAATTGCAAATAACATACAATGAAGTGTCCAATAATATTACATGCATTTGTACTTCAGTAATTTCTTTTAACCTATATTATTTCCATAATAAAGTCTCTTTTTGAAAGTATGCATAAGTGTACTTCTTTTTCACAAGGGGCCAATCATACAGTAACAAGTATTTTTTACATTTACCTTCATGATCCTGTGTTTGCATGGTAGTACTATGTAAATACCATGGTGCATGAATATGGTCCTCATTTAGTACCATGGCAAAAATCTTTTTTTTTTGTAAGTGTGATAATATCTCCCCATCAGTCACTGCTCTTCACAGCAGAGTGAAACTGCTGATCAGCATGAGAAACAAACACAAGAAAACGAGCACCACCATCGCAAGGCATCCTTAGTATTAAGAGCCAGTTTTATGATTCTTTTATAATGCTTTTGGCATCTTTTTGAAGAAAAAATGCCTGGAAGGGTTTGGAACAACCTTGAATAAATCATGACAGAACCAACCAGTGCAATTAGCAAACAACATCAATCCAGTTAATGATGGACAAAATCAAGTCCTGTTCTGCTTCATTTTTAATTGCTTGAGAAGCTGTTTCACAGTAAGGAAGAAGAGATGATTGTAATTGACATTTCATGCTGCCCTTAACATACAATTTGTTCAGTGTCATTATACTTGATTATTATAAGCATATGCTAAGAATATCTTCAAAATTCTATAGAACATAGTATATTATCTGCTGTAAAAACCTTGATAATTGACCTTAAGATAATAATTTCATAAAGGAACAGAGTTATGTTTCCTTACAGTAACATTTAAACTCGCAAAGGGCAGAGTTGAACTTTTGAAAGGCTTTTGTGAGTCGTGGTGACTTGCTGCCTCAGGCTTTTCTCTTTCTGACCCCTCACTTCCTCTCTGTGTTTGTCATGCTTTCGAGAGCCGCTTCCTGCCTCTGTCCTCCATCTAGCTGGGATGAAACGTGGGGGAAAAACCTTTCCATAACCAGGCAGCTCTTTATGAGCATGTTCAGGAAAAACCGTGAGCTTAACAGAAGTGTGTGTGTGTGTGTGTGTGTGTGTGTCTGTGTGTGTGTGTTTTTGCTTCTGGCTCTGAACTGGCGGAGACTGGCAGAGAAAGGGTTTCCATTGACGCAGCATCTTTTCATAAAGGTTAAGGGGAATGGTTTTAAGAGTGTTCTGATGCCTCTGTAAATATTGAAATACACATAAAGACTGTCGCCAGCAGTTATAAGTTAATGCTAATGTTGGAATAAGTGTTTAATAGGGATGGATAATGATGGTCAACCAGTCATACAACAACCAAATGGCTGTTTTTTTCTTATTTATTTATTTAATTATATTTATTAAAAAAGTAGAAATTATTAATAAATAATAAAAATAGTTATTTTAATACAATTATATTTTTATATACTTTTTATTTTATTTATTTTTAATGTTTAATTATTATTACATTTTTTATTATTTTTTAAAAATGAAAAACATTTCTTCTCTCTTTATTTATTTGTTCGATTTAATTTAATGTTATTTAATTTGTAATAAACTATTTTATTCATTCATTAGTAAATATTTAATTATTATTATTTTTATTTGTAATGTTTTATTTTTAAGCAAGAACAGCAGGAACTGTACTGCACCTTTAAGGCACATATTTCCTGCTGAAAATGAACACACGCACACAAAGACATACCGAAAGGAAATGACCCGGGAAGAGCAGGAATCTACATCGCCTGTATGTAGTCTGACTCACACTGAAGCATTATGGGATGCCAGGAATTTCCTTGGCCTTCTAAACTCAGACATCTGCAGTCGCACTTCAGCGTCAGAAACAGAGCTGAATTGTCAGTCTGCAGATGTTGTCATCCTGATGCAGTTAATTTCTGTTTGTGTGCATCACGACTGCTTTGTTTTTGTAGGCAAGTGCTCGTGACTCATTTTTTTCAGGCCTGTACCTGGGTGTTTACTTGTGGGTGTGTGTAATTGTGTTTGCTTGCTACCCAGTGATTGCAGTCTGTATGTGTGTGTGACTCAATTCATGCATGCCTGTACCTGTCTGTTTGTGTGTGTTTTGAGTCTATGGTGCTATTCTGAAGCTCTTCAGTGAATCAGATTAAGCGGGAGTCGTAATGGGATTAGTCTGAAAACAGTGTGCCTCTCTCTTCAGGTTCCATTCTTTGACCTCACATCAGTCTGTTTGACCAAGCATTGATACTGAATCAGCTTTAAAGATCACATTAAGTTATTTTTTTACCTAAAGAAATGAATATAGTATACCTGTAATTTTCTCTTTAGACTGTGTACCGGTGGAGTTGGAGGATCCATTCTACAGAGACCAGTATGATCAGGAGCATGTGAAGCCGCCCGTTGTGTCTCTGCTGCTTTCTGCAGAGTTGTATTGCCGTGCTGGGAGTCTGATCCTCAGGAGCGACGCGGCTAAACCTCTGCTGGGTCACAACGCTGTCATCCAAGCCCTCGCTCAGAAAGGCCTCTACGTCACTGACCAGGAGAGACTCGTGACTGAGAGAGACCTCTGCAAGACCCCCATACAGATGGCAAGTCATTTGACACTACACCTTCATTTTTTTCTATTGCAAAACTGACATAGAAGGATTTATTTTAAGAGTGACATGACCCTGCAAACGATTTCAAACTGACTGTTGCAATGCCTTCATAGTAATAGTAATATCACTTCATAGTAATATGTGCACAATATATGGGCACTATGGCTGTGTAATTTGGTAAAAAAAAATTTATTGTAATTTTTTTCTGATAAAAATTGTGATTTTAAAAAAGTTAAAAAAAGGGTTGCTATGCTTGTTTGTAAATGTTGAGTTATATATCAATAATAATAATAATAAGAAGAAGAAAGTAAAATAAGAAACATTACTATTGTAATATTTCACTGTAAAAATTGTTTAAAAATCAGCTGTTTAGGAAAAACATGTGAAATTACAGTCTTAATTTCTTTATTTTCAAGCATTAAACCATCAAACTTTTATTTTTCTTATTTCTCCAGGTTGCTCACTTAAAGGTAATCTTTAAAAACACCACTCATTTAATAACATTGTTAAATGTAATATTTAGCAAATCTTAAAATGAATATCAGTTTTTTTCGTACTGTGCATTATAATGCTGTGATTTCTAAATTCACTTAATTTAAAATAATAGTTTTTAGCGTTTTATTTTTTTATTATGTAACTATTAATTATTATTAATTATTTAGACAAAATAGCATTTTGATATTGGCCAGATTTATTGGCTTATTGGTGTTAACTATATACTGTATATATTTTTTATTAAATACATTTATTATAATAATTGATATTGCTATACAACCATAATTGATGTTGTGATGCCTAAATTTACTTGTAGTTTTTAAAACGATTGATTTAAATGTTTTGCTTTTTATTTTTTATTTAATTATTTAGACAAAATATTTGTAATTGGCCATATTAATCGGCTTATTGTCATCGACCAGAATTTTAATATCAGTGTATCCTTACTACTGACTGAAGCTTTCATAAGTCTGATGTAATGCCTTCATAGTGATTTTTATAGAACAAGCAAGTAAAACGGGAATTGAGTCAGAATGGGAATTTTTTTGGCGTGGCTATAATTTTGAGGTTGCTGTCATAATTTAAAGGGATAGTTCACCCAAAAATGAAAATTCTATCATTAATTACTCGCCCTCATACATACATATTAAGATAGTTTTGATGAAATCTGATTGCTTTCTGACGCTGCATAGACAGCAATGTAATTACCGCGTTCAAAACCCAGAAAGATAGTAACGACATCGTTAAAATAAATTCATGTGACATCAGTGGTTCAACCGTAATTTTATGAAACTACGAGAATATGAGAATGCTTGTAAACAAGGTGCAGTGCATCTGGGTTCTACATCAGAACGCCGCCTCCTGCGTCAACAACACCACACGCATGTGTCGTGGTACTCCCGTGATTGTGTGTCAAAGACACAGAAATTGTTGAATAAAGTCGTTATTTTTGTTTTCTTTATGCACAAAAAGTATTTACGTAGCTTCATAAAATTACGGTTGAACCACTGATGTCACATGGACTATTTTAACAATGTCCTTACTACCTTTCTAGGTCTTGAACATGTCAGTTGCGTTGCTGTTAGTGATGCAACGGATCACAAAACTCACAGTTCACATCATATTTTGGATTTTGAGTCACGGATCAGATAATTTTTTCGGATCAGCAAAAAAAAAATTTTTAGTGAACGCTTACTTTAGGTACTTCTATACCACAGCAAAAACTACTAGCTTAACTAATAAAGTTAGTAATAAAACAAGAACAATTACACAATTTACAAATAAAGTCAGTAACAGTAGCATTCAGGTGCAGAAATGTAATAATTAAGTGTAAAATAACACAATAGTGCTCACTGCACAAGTTAAATACAGATTAATCTTTGTTAGAGCTGTGGTGTTATTTGATTAGCAGACAGAAGCAGGTATTAATTGGCTGCTGTCTCTTTAAGACCAAATGCACGGACCTAATACTGACACACATCCGTTTTTCTTCTCAGTTGTTTACATTCACTTAAGACATAACCGACTGTGTTTACTAGAATATTTGCCAAAATGGGTATTTTAACATAAATTTGTGTGTATGTGAAAGAGGAATCAATTCGCTGTTCACGCGGTGTCTCTCTCTCTG